TGAGTGTTTTTAATTTTTTTATTTGGCTATAAAGTGCTGACACATTTTTTTTTACAGATTTACGAGAGTTAAAGATGTAAAAATTTGGTTAAAACGGTCATCACTGTCACTTGTTACGCAGACTGTCCAATCACAATGACCACACATACCACACTGACCAACTGTCACAACATTCTTTCTGTACAACATCAAATAGCAGAGTAGATGGAAAATAATATTTCTAGTCTCCGAACATACGTGTCTATATGACATTCATACTATACAAACATTTTTAGCATTATACAAATTATCAGGGAAATCAGTAAAAAGTAAACTGTGCCACGGATATTCTGTATAGCAACAAGTGTCTCAACAAAACATGACATCATGACTTCTGCACTGCCAAACATAATCGCTTACAGTATTGCCATAGCATTTTCAGCTAGCTAAAACGCTTTGGTGGACACATGGCCTTAGATAGGCTGGATGTAAGGCCACATGTTATGACATTTGCTCACATATGTTTTGTAGGTAGAGTGTTTAGAAAATTGTGTAAGTTCAAACTTATAAAGAGCTGTTTATGGTTTTGGGATGTGCAAGAAGATACTTAATTGCTATTTGTGGCAAAGCTTAGGGCACAATGATTTTGCCAAGTACATGTCCCTGTATCAACATCATTTTTGTTGATCAAGGCACATAATTCCTGTTCATAAAAATAGTCCTATCTATCCTAACCCTATCCCTAAAGTAGGAGGGACATTTTAATAACACTGATCTAGAAGCATGGTTGAAAGCCTTAACTTGGCATAACTTCAAACTTCAATTCTAATTTGTCGATATGAATGCTGTTCCAGGATCAATAAAGATGCTGAGCCAGGAACATGTTGTAGCCTACTTTGGATATTTTTATAACAAACGTACAGGAGTTGTACAATATTCAAATATTTAAAATAGCTATAATCAAATAAAATAAAAATTCAATATTGAAAATATAAAAAATATTGTAATATTTTAAAACAAAATAAACGTATTTAAATACATAAATGAAAATTTAATTACATTTTTGGCTTAATATAAATTTATACAAAAGTAATTTTTAGTCTATAAATGATCTTTCTTAAAGATAAAACAATATATATAATTTTAACATTATAATTAATGAAATACAATTAAATGACTGACAATTAGTGAAGCTCTTGTGAGGAAATATTATTATTTTGACAATAAACTTTTTCAATTTTTATTTATTTATTATTTATTTTTTGCTTCAGCTTAGGCCTACTTATTTATTAGAGATAAGATCTCTATTTTCTTTGTAACAAAATATTTACTGCATGTGAAGTTGTCTTTGAAAAAAAAAATCAAACTGACGATTCGGGCCTTTAAATTTAAACGTAGCTGTAAAATTTGAAAAAGGCGCTGGAAACCAACGTC